GGAGAAGGGGGGAAGGGGGAATGGGGGGACAGAGAAGGGAAAGGGAAGCGTTTTAAAGAGAATGCGGACGAAAACCAAAAATTCAGAACGCAGCCGCGATGTGTCGCCTGCCTGCTGCCTGCAGACTGATTCCGAGAGTCCTTTTCTTTGCTCTGTCTCTCTCGCAGGGGACGCCCCATGAGTGCGAGGGAGACAGAGCGGCGAAAACGACTCTCGCAATCAGTCTGCTGCCTGCCAGCTGCACCCCACCGAACCCGATGGCGCCCTGCCTCGTAATTTATTGACGGACCCCGCGTGCACTCCGTGTGTAAGAGGGGCGACTGTCACTGTGTCACCTCCAAGCGGGGAAGTGGGGGGGGGGGGGTGAGGGATGGGATGCGACGGGGAGCGAGGGGAGGCGCGTCGCGGGACGGGATGAAATGAGATGGGATGAGAAAGGAGAGAGAGAGAGAGAGAGAGAGAGAGAGAGAGAGAGAGAGAAAAGAGAGAAAAAGAGAGAGAGAGAGAAAAGAAAAAGAGAGAGAGAGGGTTTGTTACACCCGCAGAGCACGGCAAGACGGAACGAAGAAGGAAGCACGGCAACGGAATTCCACTTAGTGCTTTGGAACGTCTGAATGCTTAACGGAGAGAGTTGAAAAGGCAACGTGAATGAGAGACATGTTGTTTGGAAAATTAAGTTGTCCTGCATGAACCATCAAGAAAAGCAAAATAAAGTGCTTTAGAATTAGATTTTCCGCTTTGAAAGAGCGTGGCTTGAAGTTTCATACCTTTTCGTTTGGTTTTACTGCTCTCTGGACTTTGGGGGAGTCAAGATGGCGGCCCGCAACCATGGGGGAGTTTTACTACTGACGGCTCGAAAGGGGGTTCCGTGTGATTGCGTGATACCCTTGTGAGTTCCGACCCCCTCACGCCCACGCCCTCTGGGTTCATCCGCCTTCACTTCACATCCGGCGAAGAGGCTAGCGTCCGAAGCAGTCGTTGTGACAGCCACGGATTCCTCGAGCCAGCTAAATTGGGAGCATCGATATTGGACTGCGGCCTGCCACCGTCTGCCACCACCGCCCGCCACACAGTGTGGCACCGTGTGTGGTCCGTGCGGTCCCCGGCCGCGTCGCCGTGTCGCCGTGTCATCGGCAGCGCTACTAATTGGCCCTCACTTATAGGCGAGCCTGTCCCGGACGCGGGGCGGGGCGGGGCGGGGCGGGGGGGTGGGGTGGGGCGGGGCGCCACGGGCCGTCTGCAGCGCGGTCGTGCCTGGTCGCTGATTGTGCGCTGACGGCGCAGAGCCTGCCGGCTAGAGTCTCGCGTCGCTCCGCGTCGCCCCGCGTCCCACGCCACACCAAGGTGCCCCTCGTCTCGTCGAGGAGCGCGCCTCACGTGTCACGCCGACGCCGTGGACGTGCCGTGGCGCAGCCAGAGTGTGGCGCCAGGAGTGAAGCTCATCACGTGCCAGTGGTCAACCCGCACTGGAAACGATGCCTGTCCCAAGCCAGAGAAGCCACCCTGCGCACACCGCGCGGCCAGGCCTGCTGGCCGAGGTTTCTAGCTGCGCCACTGGGGGAAAGAGAGTTGCTCCGGGTTGCCTCGACGCCACGCCTCCTTGGTTGCCTATCTATCAAGGGCCGCTCACCCGATAAGGGGTTGGCACCCTCCATTCCCCGCTCGGCTGCATGCGCCTCCTCTCTCTGTCGCTCCCAGACGCGCCAGTCCCGGGACGCCGGTGTAAGCGGCGAAGTGTACCCCCCGGCCCAGGGAACCCTCGGGTACAACTCGCCTAGGACTAAGGTACCCGGGGGTACACAACGCCTAGGCTCAATGTACCCCGGGTACCTCAGGCCTGGGGGGTACACTGAACCTAGGCGAGTTGTACCCCGGGTACAAAAAGCCTAGGCGAGTTGTACCCGGGGTACAAAAAGCCTAGGTGAATTGTATCCTCCCTCATCCGAGAGGAGGATACAATTAGCCTAGGCGAATTGTACCCCGGGGTACAAAAAGCCTAGGCGAATTGTATCCTCTCTCGCCGAGGGAGGATGCAACAAGACGAGGGGATTTATATTCTTCCCCGGCAGGATTGTGATGCGTCAATGGTTGGTTTTTAATTGAACCGACGGAAGGCTTCTAAAACTGAATTGTCCTACCAATCCTAACCAAACCTAACGGGCTCGTGACAGATCTTACTCTACTCGCGACAGATCTGATTCTCAAAAGAAATCGTACAACCTTTCCTAACCAAACCTAACGGGCTCCCCTTGGATGAAGAAGGATACAATTTGCCTAGGCTTTTTGTACCCCGGGGTACAATTCGCCTAGGCTAGTTGTATCCTCCCCTCGGATGAGGGAGGATACAATTCACCTAGGCGAGTTGTACCCCGGGTACAACTCGCCTAGGCTTTTTGTACCCGGGGTACAACTCGCCTAGGCTCAGTGTACCCCCCAGGCCTGAGGTACCCGGGGTACATTGAGCCTAGGCGTTGGGTACCCCCGGGTACCTTGGTCCTAGGCGAGATGTACCCGAGGGTTCCCTGGGCCGGGGGGTACACTTGTCCGCCGACACCGGCTCAGCCGTGGCACAGCGCCACGCCGGCGTGGTAGCGTAGCGTGACGCGGTGGTCGCCCAGCCATGTGCAGCCGGATCTCGTGCCCTCGGCCCGCGCGGCAGTGGCCCCGGCACCTGACCCGTCTCCGCGAGGCCCGGGTGGCCTCTTCGAGGAGTGCCATGGTTTCGGCTGTGCGGCTCGCCCCGCCTGGAGGCCCGCCGCGGACGTCGCCGGCGTGCCCGCGAGGTGCCCTCCGCGCGCTCCGTGTCCTACAGGGCCCTGGGGGCGCAACGAGTCGAGGCTTTCCTGCTTTTACCGCACCGCGCGGCACCGCGTCCCCAGAGCCCCCGCCCCTCTCTGCCCCCCCCCCCCCCCACACACGCACCAACACACGCACCAACACACGCGCACCGCACGACACGCCGTCTCCGGATACATTGGGTGTCGCTGGGGCCCTCACGAGTCGCGTGGGGCTCGGCAGACGACAACAGACGTGGCGCGGCGCGGCGGGGCGGGGCGGGGCGGGCGGCGGGGCGGGGCGGGCGGGGCGGGGCGGGGCGGGGTGGGGCGCGTGGTGGCGCCGCCTGTACGCACGACGTGCCCGGCCTCATGAAGCAGGCCAGCGAACTCG